GGTGGGGTGGGTGGGTGGGGGCGGGGAGGGACGGAGGGCAGGAAGCCAGCCCTGATCCCACCCAGCTGTTGCGGGGCCCGGGCCGGCTGGGGGGGGGGGGTGCCCTGGGGGTGCGGGGATCGTCCCGCGGGCAGCGATCGGAGCTCCCCGCCAGGCGTGACCTCGTTTAGGTCCGGGAGCGAGGGTCGGACACAGAAGGGGCAGCGTGGAGCGGGCCGGGCCGCGGGTTTGACAAAGGCCGTTTTGTCCCGCGTCGTGGCCGCACTGGTGGGCTCCTCGCTGGACGTGCCGATCGCCTTTAACCCCTGTGGAAGCTCGCCCCCAGCGAAGCCCCTTCCTGGGAACATCCCCGATGCGTTACGGTGGACCAGTCATTGTGCTTGTCCTTTTCATGTCCATTCAGTTCTCAGATACCGCGCTGGACGCTGGGGGGGGGGGGGGGCGGAGGGTTATGGGGGGCCGGGGGGGGGGGGGGGCACGGAATAAAGCAAGAGAATAAGTGCCCAAATGATTTACAACAGCCCCGTGAGGTAGGTGCCTTTACAGCCGAGGTAACTGAGGCAGATGTTAGTTAAGTGATTTGCCCAGGGCCCCACAGGTAATGAGTGTCTGGATTCCAGCTAGGATCTTCTCGACTCCAGGCTCAGCCCTCTGTCCACCTTCCTGGCCTCTTAGCAGACTACTGCTAGCAGACTACTCCTGGCAAATTAGCAGACTAATCTGGGCTGTGAGATTGGATGAGGTGGGGGCTTTTTGCCTGGCAGGAGATCAGGAGGTTTCTTGTGGTGACGGGAGGTACCATTGGAATTGGGCTTTGAAATTCAATGGAGAAGGGCACGGAGCAAAGGCACTGCAGTCAGAAAACGGGGCAGGTCTAAGCAGTGGTGAATGGGGCTGTGTCAGGTCTCACCATCTAATGAAAAGCCTAATTGAACAGCAAGTGATCATCCTAACAGGGGCAAACCATTGACCTCAGAGACACAGGACCTAGACTTATCTCTACCACTGTCTCTTGGACCTGGTTCATCTCTCAGGAACCAAGCAGAAAAAAAAAAAAAACTGCCCTGTGACAGCTCTTCAGAAGCCAGCGAGATAACCCTTGTTCCTTTGCCTCGTTGAAGACTTAGCCCCTCTTCTTGCTGTCCTGATGATTGGGGCTCTTCATGGGCCCCTTGGGCATTCATTCTGGGGAAGCCCAGGGACTTCTTCTCAGAACAATTTTTCTTTTTTTGGGTGAGGCAGTCGGGGTTAAGTGACTTGCCCAGGGTCATACAGCTAGTAACTGTCAAGTGTCTGAGGCCACATTTGAACTCAGTTCCTTCTGACTCCAAGGCTGGAGCTCTATCCGCTGTGCCACCTAGCTGCCCCAGAACAATGTTTTTTAATGCAGAATATACGTAGTATTACAAAGGAAACTAATACTATTGAGATACAGGCTTCAGAATATTTACAATGCGCATTGAGGGACCCTAGCTTAAGAGCCCCTGCTCTAGATGGTCTCCTTTCAACAATTTTCTTCCATTTATTAAAGCAAGTACCATATGCTGGGAATTGAAAGAGAAAGCTGTCTCCTCAAAGTGCTTGTACTCTCCATCCCTCTTCCTGAAATGTTGGAGTCAAGCATATTCTAATAACCTTATATTTTTAAATGATAAAGAATTTGTAAATATAACCTGCACTGTGATGTGGAAAATTTAAATTGTGTTTTTAGTTAAATATTGGGATAGCAAAATGCTTGGTTTGTAGTATGTTTACAGTTTGCCCTCTCCATGAAAAAAAGGCCCATCTTTTTAACGTCATTCTTTTTCTTATGGCATTGTATGGCTCACAAGTCATGGAATACCATAGTCTGAAGAATTAAACTTTAGGCTTGTCCAAAGGAATAAGAAGAGGTAAGTGGTGGGCACGAGCCAGCTGTGAAGTATCAGTAACAAACAAGTGAGCAGAAGTCTGTAAAGGATTAGCTTGTACATCACGGTGTGAGATCTGGAGCAGGGCCTCTTGTGACAGGATTGATGGATTGGAGATGCAGAGAATTGGATGTGATAGAAGGCATCTGCACGGTACACGTGGCTGAAATCTCACACCAGGCATTGATTTGCCAAAGAATAAGAGTATCGATATGTCGGGAAACGTGGCTGAGATGTTTACCTTGAGGTATTTATCTATTTTACAAGTGAACTCTTGGTGGATGGAAGCCTTCAGACAGAGACAGGCTATGTTGTTGCTAATTGGGGGTGGGTGTGGGGAGTGTGTTTGGGGATGGCTGGATGGCTGACAGGGCCAGATCGGTGGCCACTAGGGGCCCTTTTGGAGATGTCACGTTTCATTTCTACGTCAAACCCCCAGTGTGAGCCCTGGCACTCAGCTGTCGCCGTCCAGCCTGTGTTCAGACTTTCAATGAGGCAGGCATTGTGTTGAATGTTGGATACAAAGAAAGGCACCAACAAGGGCCCTGCCTTCAAGGAGCTTGTGTCTGATGGGGAAGACAAACCTGCAGTCTGTAGAAACAAGATAGGTACAACGTAAGCGCGATAAACAGTCTGCTAATGTTACCTCACTGGGTCCTCACAACACCCCAAGGAGCTAGGTGCTGCTGTGATCCTCATCTTTCACTTGAGGAATCTGAGGTAGACAGGTTCAATGACTTGCCCAGGGTAACAGCTAGTAATTGTCTAAAGCGGGATTTGAACCTGTGTCTTCCCGACTCCAGGCCCACCCTCTTATCTACTGTGCTGCCTCAGTGAGGGGTGGGCATTGGAGGGAACTGGATGGTAGGAGCAGGAAGGTCTCTTGGATTTGAGCTGAGCTAGGAGTCAGAATTGGGGAGGGAGGGAGTGGCAGTGAAAATGGCCCATCCTGGCAGGGGAACAGCCAGAAGGATAGTGTCCCTGGATCGTAGGATGTGTAGAAGGGAACACGTTCAAAAAAGATTGGGAAGGAAGGCCTTGAAAAGCCAGAGGATTCTCTCTATGATCCTTGAGGTACTAGGGAGCCACTGAGGGAAGGGGGGAAAGGGTCCGACCTGTGCTTTAGGAAGATCCCTTGGTAGCATGTGCCTCTGGTCTTTGACTCTCACTCACACCAGCTGTCGGAGATGCCGTTCAGAGATGTTCCAGTAGCTTCAGCTTAACCATAGGGTAAAGTCCAAACACTTTGTCCTGCAATGCTTGCTGGTCTGTCCCTGATTTTTACATTGTCTTCTTGCCTTCCAAGAGCTGAACCAGGCCACCTACTGCCTTCCCCTCCTGGCCGCGCACGTTCCCGTCTATACCATTCTCTGCCTTGAAGTGCTCTCCCCATTAGGCAGAACCTGTTCATCCTTCACGACCCAGCCCCAGGCCCTTCCCGTCTCTTCCACCAGGCACAGGGGCACTTCCTGTGTGCCGTCTGCCAGGCGCTTGGAGCGCCTGATGTTCCTCCACTTTGCTGTCTTCTCTCCCAGGCTGTGGGCCTTGTGTGTATACTGGGCTCCAAATAAACACTTGTCCACTGAAAGAATGTTTTCTGTGCTGTTGGGCAGCCAGTTGTCTTAGTAGGTACTGCCTTTAATTCAGTTCACTAGGTATTCTCAGTAGCACTTACCTTGGATTGTGATGCTATTCTTGAATTTTGCTGATTTTCAGATTATTTCATTCCTGTTACATCTTCTAACATATTAAATTGTATATGATGAGACCTCTGGAGCTCTCATTTGAGGTAGTGTTCTATTTTTAACCAGCTGCGGTTTTTTCTGTCTTTACCAGATTCTCAAAATCATCATATCCTTTATTCAGCAGCAAAAAACAATCTGTAAATATTTATTATAGCTTCTTCTTCTACCTTATTTATAGTAGTATGTGAACAAAGTCTTCCACGAAAATGCTGCTTTCTTTGCTGTGAAGCTGAGTTCTCTTGAAGGCTTTGTCAGTGGGGCACAGGTGCTGACTGGTCCTCCCGAGTTTGGATCCATTTAAATATGGTTGGAGGGAGGAGGGGTCATTTTGGGTGTGTTGTCTGAAGCCTAACCGGCTGAGAAGCCAGGGGAGGCATTGTACTTAACCTGGTTGGCTGCACATGGATGAATTTTTCAGGCATACTGACTCTTAGGGAGAGTGGTACGAGGGCTGTGTGGTCTGTACCCACATGAACAACATTCGAGATGATTAAAGTGAAGCGACGTGGTGTCTCGCCTTGTGGGCCAGCCTCAGAGACAAGGCCGCCTCTCTGACTTAGACTAGTCCCAGGCAAGTCGCCGAATGTGAACATAAACTGTCCGAGTTTTCTACTTCTATTCTCAGTGTTTAGCACAGGGCTTTACACATAGTAGGTGCTTCATCATTTTCCATTCATTTCCTTCTCTAAGAGGAGAAGCTGTGGAGAATGGGTTGCTGCTATTCCAGTGAAATGACTGGTGTAGACCCTATCCCTCAATGACGGAAGAATGACCCAAAGCCTATTGGCTGTTATCCTGGTTTTGATATCTCATTTAAATCCATGAAAATACTTGACCTTTCTTTAAATTTTGGATTTTAAAATAGTGA